GGCTCTGTCTCAAAAAAAAAAAAAAAAAGAACCAGGCAAAAAAGATGTGGGATCTGAAGACGTCACATCCACTCCTGGTGAGAAGCTCCAAACTCACGCCCAGGCATGGGGGACGAAGCTGGACCATGCCAAGCTAAAATCAGGCTGATAGTTTTCTGGCAACTCCAGAAGGCAGGTCCCCTAAGGAGAAGGAGGGAGGAGCTAAAGTGTGGCCGGATTTCTATAAATCTTACCACACACTCACCAGGGCTCCGTGGTGGGGATGCTACATGCACGTGTGCATCAAATTGTAACTCTCTAGTGCCTAAGAGAAGGACTCCTCTCCCAGCCACCAGGAAAACCCCACAGCAGTGTAGACTTTCAAGAAGGTGCTGGACTTCACAACCAGCCCTCCCTTAATGGGCACTTCCCTGGGGGAAGAGGGCAGGTAATGACCATGCTCATAGAGCCATGGACTAGGAGCTGCCACCTCAGCTACAATCTATGGTCTTTCTTCCAGATTCTTATCCCACAGAGCACTGAATTGAGCCTGTCTCTCCCTGAGACAGACATCAATGATCAGGGGTGGCAAAAGGGAATGTTTCCTCTCTGGTCCTAGGAGTGGATTCCTGCAGAGCACAGAATCAAAGTGACACCTGAGAGACTTACGATTTCCTCACATCTTTGACGTTGAAAACAACAAAAGTAGTCATAATAGCCACAGTTTTTAGGAGGTGCCAGCCATTGTGCCAGCTGTCTCTAAAGCTTCCACAACCCTGAGTTGAGTTAAGGATTATCATCCCCAACTGCAAATGAAGGACATCAAGGCTCACTGAGGCTACTTGACCTGCCTATAATCCTACACAGCAAGTAAGTGTTGGGCTTGGCTAAGTCCCAGACCATCTTCAGTGACTGGATCTGAAAACCATGCAGGACTTCTGAGGCCACTGGGCAGTCCGCAGGCGCTCAGAAGTTCTGTATGCAGGGACTTGGCTCCCCCCCTCCCCCCAGGGCCTCTGTTTTCTCCTCTGTATTAGGAGGGATATGAAGAGATGTGCTCTAGGTCCCTCCAATGTGCCATTTTGGACTTCTAGTTCCTTGGGCGTTTTCTCCCTTTAAGCATTTCTTTTTTTTTTTTTGAGACAGAGCCTCAAGCTGTCCCCCTGGGTAGAGTGCCGTGGCATTACAGCTCACAGCAACCTCCAACTCCTGGGCTCAAGCGAGACTCCTGCCTCCGCCTCCCAAGTAGCTGGGACCACAGGCGCCCGCCACAACGCCCGCCTATTTTTTGGTTGCAGCCGTCATTGTTGTTTTGGCGGGTCTGGGCTGGGGATTCGAACCCGCCACCTTAGGTGTACGTGGCTGGCGCCTTAGCCGGTTGAGCTATAGGCGCCGAGCCCCTTTAAGCATTTCTTTTAGGCACAGTTCACCTTCTCTTCAAAGCTGTTAAAGTCAGCCCTCAAGGTGAGCTGGGCAAAGTGCCAAGAGCCCCTGAGACTCTTGGAGGCCCCAGGGAGCTCTCTGCACCCAGGGCAGTGTGGGGACTGCAGGGGCTTAGATAACAGAAGGGAGAGAAGGAACAGCAGAGTATAAAGCCTGGCTCTGGAATTGGACAATCTGAATTCCGATGCAGATTCTGTCAATGATTAGGAGACCAGCTTGGGCAAATTCTTTTTTTTTTTTTTTTTTGAGACAGAGTCGTCCTCAGACTGGTCTCAGACTTGTGAGTTCACGTGATCTGCCCCCAGAGTGCTAGAATTATAGGCATGAGCACCCAGTAAGTCTCCAAGACCGGCTTGGGCAAATTCTTAACCTCGGTTTCCTCAAATGAAAAATGAGGTATCGACAACCCTTAACTTGCAGTATTTGCTGGGAAAGATAGGATGAAATAAAGCTTATAGGCTTGGCATCTGTAACACAGTGGTTATGGCACCAGCCACATACACTGGGGCTGGCAGGTTCAAATCTGGCCCAAGCCAGCTAAACAACAAATGACAACTGCAATAAAAAATAGCCAGGTGTTTTGGCAGGCGCCAGTAGTCCCAGCTACTTGGGAGGATCAGGCAAGAGAACTGCTTAAGCCCAAGAGTTTACGTTTGCTGTGAGCTGTGATGCCACAGCACTCTACTTAGGGCAACATACTGAGACTCTGTCTAAAAATAAAAAATAATAACAATAATTTTAAAAATACTTTCCTGTGTTGGTGGCACCTGTAGCTCAGTGAGTAGGGCACTGGCCAGATACACCAAGGCAGGTGGGTTTGAACCCATCCTGGGCCTGCTAAACAACAATTACAACTACAACAACAACAAAAAATAGAAAATAGCCAGGCGTTGTGGCGGGCGCCTGTAGTCCCAGCTACTCAGCAGGCTGAGGCAAGAGAAT